GCGTGTCGCTTCTCTCTTTTTCGCGCTCTCTCTCGTTCTTTCTTCCGTCTTTCTCTCTCTCTCTCTCTCTCCCTCTCTCTTTTACTTCTCTCTCTCTCTCATTCCCGATCTCGCGCGCCTGGCTCACGCCCCAGGCGCGACCGATTCGAGCGGTCTAGGCGGCCATCGAGCGCACGCCCCCGTCCCTGACACCGCGAGCGCCTCTCACTCCTTCTCTCTCTCGCTCTACCTCGCGCGCGTCGCTCGCTCGTCTTATCCCCCATCTCTCTCTTTCTCTCTCTCTCTCTCTCGCCGTCGCGCGTCGATCATCTACATGTATACACACGCTTTCCCCTTCCCGCGATGTCCTCCCCTCACTCACCTTCGGTCTTCTACGATTTTGTTGTCTCGATCGAGCGTACGATTCCACGAATCATCGCGTCCTTCTTCCACCTCACGAACGCAAGCCGAACGCCGCCCGCGCATCTCGACAGCGCGATTATCGACGTGAGCTATCGAGAGACTCCTACCTTCTCCGGCTTTGGCACACTTCTCTAGACGTGTTTCCCCTCTGCCACTCCTCCCACTCTGCTGCTTTCGCGCGTCTCGAGCATCGCGGTTACTTTCTTTCATCGCGCGTCGAGTCATTCGGCGAATCATCCCTCGTATGCCATCGGGTAGCATCGCTTTTCGCTAAACCCCTCGTAGTGTACACATCGACGAAAAGGTAACGCGTTCACGTCGAATTAACGAATTAATAAAACGAACGAATCACGATGCGTGCGACGCGTCACGTGTCTTGCCATCACGCGACTCACCCTCTCTACTTTATTCTGCAAAAAATACCTAGTTTAAAAATGACACGATAATTAATATTGAAATGATACGATATGATGTAACTGAGTGTCACAAATATCTCGACACTTGAAGTGCACCAATTTTTCAAGCACATTCGCGTTTTCATATTCATACATCATGTGGCTGTCGATTAAAATATTCAAAATTATAATTTTTAAATTATATTTTAATTATATTTTCTTAATACGAGCCGATATTTCTTTTAATCTTACGTATTTAATCTTCACGCATATCAAACGGATGCAGATGTTAAATCGCTAGGCACTTCCAAGCGTTCTTTGACGCATCATTTAATGTGTTTACATTTATATCGTGATATAGATTTTTTTCATTTAGTCACATTTCTTCCTCGTATTTCTCTTATATATTCAGAACGCTATGATGTAAACGCGGGTTATTGTTCTGATTTAACTTGATTGATTTGACTCGATGATTGCGTCGTGATATGCAATGATGGCTGCTGAGTCGATTAAATTTGGAAGCAGATAAAGGCGTACCTATGATAACAGCAGAAAAAGAAATTCAGAGCGAACGAAACGCGATGGGTGTGTGTCGATTGATCCCCGCGACTCAATCTATCCGAGTTTCCAGAATGCGACGCGCGTCCATAATGCGATCATATAATATAGAGAAGCGGACGTATGCATCTCCGCTCTCTCCCCATCCCCCGCGTCAGTTCCTCTCCTCATCTCTCCCCCTTCCTCGCGACCGCGACGCGCGAGGCAGAAAGGTTCCCTTTCTCTTTAGATTGTGAAATGATTTTCTATCGCGGCGCTTTAGCTCCGCGCGCTGCGCGGATTTATTATATATGCAATGGGTTACGCAAATTACGACAAAGTGCAAATATTTCACATGACCTGCACCTGCGTGACTCCCCTTTCTACACGTGATCGTTTAGCCAGGCACGTGAATCGTGATGCGCACGACGTTTAATACATACACACACACACACACACACACACACACACACACACACACACACACATATATATATATATATATATATATATATATATATATATACTA